TTTCACACAATTTTAATAACTCGCCAGAATACCATTCAGGAGAGACTGAAGCTAAGTAAATGATGATGGGGAGGCTACACCTCCACTAATACCTCCTAGTTATACTATCTGTTGCTGTCTATTTATCCTCTATATCTTCAGGGCCCGCATAATGGACTTGGGGGCCACTGAATTTCTTCATTTCTCTTATGAATGTGGTCACATTGAATATATCCCTTCTACCTGCTTTTGCAATTATGTTTGTATAACTGACGTATTGAGGATGAATGAGCAAGTCTGGATTTCCGGTCTCTGTCCTAACACTTCTGCTAACAGTGCTGGCTGAGAGGAAATGAGGCTGAGCTGTATTGCAGCGAACAGTCTTAGCTTAGCCTCCAATTTCTAAGTTGATAGTCTAGGTCACCAGCCTTCTTTTGTCTTACCTCCTTTCATATTTTAGTTGTCAACGCTTTTAAAAGCATCTCAATATATTTTTCATTAGTGCCTTTGTGCTCCTAGTAGATTTGGTTTAGGCTTCTTATAAGTAAGAATTCTAATACAACTCCTAAAACTGTGAGGGAAAAATAAGTAGAACAAAACTTATAGGATCTAAAACAAACTTAAATAACAGTAAATAAAATAAGCAATCCAGAGAGCAATATCAAGAAATGGAAATATCCTCAAATGCATCAGTAAGCACAGTAATGTCACTAGGTTAAGCTTAGTTATTAAAAGTTTATGACTAAAAAACTTAAAATTTCACATGATTTTTAACATAATTTTCATTGAATATTTGGGAATTTCACATCATGCACCCCAAATCCACTCATTTCCCAGACCTTCCATATCCACCTTTTACCCCTGTAACCTCCTCCCTGAAAATAAAATAAAGAATAAAAACTAGAAAAGAAAAGAAGAAAAAGGAAAAAATCTTGCTGACCCCTCGGGCAATGGCCTGCTCCTCTCTCCCCCACATCCCTCTGTGCATGTCCCACGCCACTCCTCTGTCTTTGTCACCTCTCCGTTGGTTGCATATTCATTCATTGTAGTGGCATTGGAAGCTGTGGTGTGTCATGCAATAGACCCTTTTCCCCAAACAGCTTTACTTGCAAATGTTCATTTCAATGAACCATTAGTGTAGTTCAAAATATTTGTTCTCAAATTAATTGAAATCACCTGGAAAGTTTTATAAAGTACCGATAGCTGAGTCCATCCCCTTGAGATCTTGATGTAATTAGTCTGAAATACAACCTATTCACTGGCTTTTAATGTTAGCCATGTGATTGTAACATGTAGCCCAGCCTGTTAATAGTCTAAAGAAGGATATGACACATTTGTCATTAGCTTGATGATCATTAAAAATGGTGATAATTCAGCCAGCAAAAGTAACCTAATGTGATTTTTCTTCTACATATTTTAGCATATAAATTAATTGAAGATTATTTAAAAACTTAATTTGAAGTGAGAATGTCCTTCATAGGCTCTTATATTTGAATGTTTAGTCCCCAGTTGGTAGAAATGTTTGGGAAGGATTAGGTGCGGACTTCGTGGGGGAGTTGTACCCCTGGGAGACATCTTTGAGCTTTCAAAAGAGGGCATCACTACCAGTTAGCTCTCTCTGCTTCATTCACACTTGTGGTCGAGTTAGAGCTCAGCTGCAGTTCCTGTGCTTGCCTCCTTCGGTGCTCTCTGCCATGATGGCCGTGGACTCTAACCCTCTGGAGCTGTGAGTCCCAAATTAAACGCTTTATTTTGTGTTATCTCAGTCATAATGTCTTCGCACAGCACTAGAAAAGTAACTGTGATGACAGCTTTTAAAGTTTAATCCTATATACAGCCTATGAGATAAATAACGAATCAGCTTTAAGAGTGAAAATTACTCAGAGTTTCATTATTTTACAAAAGCTGGGAGATTATGGGGAAGCTCAGGCAGAATACAAACTTCCAGCTTTGAACTTCATATTCACCACTGTTTCTATTTTAACCCAATTGTCCAAGAAGGTGAAGAAAAAGATAGTATTGAAATTTCTAAACTTGAGAAGTACTCCAGAAATCACATGACAGAGAAAAGGGTAAAATTACTTTGGGCACTAATGATGTCACTAATTTGTGAAGAGTTTGAAGCCAAAGTCTATGTTTTATTTTTCATTATATTCCTAGTGATTTGCACTATGATTAGCATTTATTAGGTGTTCAATAGATGTTTGTCAAATGAATATTTGAGAACTCTAAAATAAATCAGTTTTAGTAATTTAGCAAAAGTTACAAATGAGACAGCAGCAATATCTAAGAAAAAACTCTAAACTTTAATTTTCAATTAAAGTTAATAATCATAAAGATATATTACAAACATTTCAAGTAGCAAAAGAACTTGAGCAGAAAATAGAAATTGTATGTATTTTCTGTATCTCTGTCTCTCTTCCTACTGCCAATATACATACAAATGAAAACTAAGCTATATCAAATGATAACTTAATGTAATAATAGTAATAATAATAGTGTTCAAATTATTTAATAAATTGTACATTTTATCAGTACAGCATGTTCATAAAGTTTCCCTTCCATTTCAGTAAGAGTAAATAAAATTGAATACTTTTAACACAAATACTGTAAGATTAACTAAGATTTTGCTTGCACATACAAAACATTAAAAATGTTAATATCAGCCAGGTGGAGGCAGCACATGCCTCTTTAATCCCAGCACTTAGGAGGCAGAGGCAGGTAGATCTCTATGAGACTGAGGCCAGCCTGTTCTACAGAGAAAGTTCCAGGACAGTCAGGGATATATAGAGAAATCCTATTTCAAAAAAAAAACACAAAAAAATAATATCTATAAATATTAGTATAAAACTGTTGGATGGCTAAATTAGAGAAAAATTCTAAAGAAAATAAACTTGATGTCCTAAATAAATATAATTGTACTTATAATAAATACATTGTTGATAGAGGGATAAGTGCTTTAGTATACTATAAAAAGCTGTGATCAGGTTAAATACACAGTATTAAAACTATGTAAGTATTAAAATATATCACATATATAATACTAATTACATGTCGTTAGCTAGCAGTAGCATTTATGTAGTAATTATTTACTGATACTTTGAGATAAAAGAATGAGCACTTCATTTCCTAGTGAAGGTTATAAAAGACTGAGGTAATTTTGAAACCATATTATAGAGTATAATAATACTGCTTTCTGAAAGGCAGGAACAGGTACAATCATATACTGAGACAGACACTTGGAGATAGGCATTAAGTAGCATGAATAGTTCATTTGAGTTCACTTAACTCTAAAAATTGACATGACTTCAAAAATTTCTGGTCCTCAGAGTATTAAAAAACTTGATTAAAAATTAAGATCAAGTTTGCCCCAATGGAAACAAATAATTTAAATGGGAAAGGAAAATCTGTCGGGAATCCCAGGATGAGAAGTAACTGTAATATTGACACTAGGGAGGCTGATGCAGAAATACTGGTCTCACTGATTTGAGACCAGTCTCCAAAAACACAACATCAACTTGAAAGATTCAATGTTATACTTATTGCTAATTAAGAACTTGCATCACAAAAGGTAGAGTGTGATGATGAGGGCTCAAGAAAAAACCTTAGCACTTCAAAACAAGGGAAATATTTACCTTTAGTTACTGCCACATGTTCATCCCAGTTCGGTGTCCTCATCCACAGATGCATACTAAACCACAAGAAACATCACCCTCTGAAACATCACCATGGAAGATAGGCAGGAAAAAGATGTGCCTATACAAACTTTGTAGTCATTTGAATCTGTTTCCTACCAAACTCATGTTGAAACCTAATCCTCAATATAACACTGTCATAGTTACCATTCTATTACTGTGAAAAGACACCATGACCAAGGCAACTTATAAAAGAAAGCATTTAATTAGGGGCTTGCTTACAGTTTCAGAGGGTCATGAGTCCATGACCATCATGGCATGGAACATGACAGCAGGCAGGCAAGCATAATGCTGAAGAAGTAGCTGAGAGCATAAATCTGACCCAGAAGAGCTGGGCAAAGGGAGAAAGAGAGCTAACTGGGAATGGCATGGGCTTTTGAAACCTTAAAGCCAACGGCAGTGGCACACCTCCTCCAACAAGACCACACCTCCTAATCCTCCCCAAACAGTTCTACAAACTACAGACCAAGCATTCCAATATATGAACCTATGGGGGTCATTCTCATCCAAACTATCGTAAACACCGTTGTGAGTTAGAACCTTTGGGGCTGAAGCAGGCTATGAAAGCTCCTTTCTCGTAAAGAGATTACTCTCTCTAAAGGCTTGAGCAGATAAATCCATTATCCTCTTCTGTCCTTCCACTTTCTCTCCTGGAAGGACTCATTACTCAAACCTCCTGCAGTGAGAAGATGCAGCAAGTTCGTCCTTATGTATCCAAATCTGTCAATTCCTTGATCTTGGATTGCTCAGACTCAACAGCTGGAAATTTTACATTTGCCTTGATTTGTGAATTTCTTTGCTCTTTAAAACTATAAAACTTCATGAAACTGCTTCCACCTTGGAAAGTGGAATTTGAGGTAACCTAAGTCTGTGTTATTGGGCCATGGTCACTCCCAAAGCAAAAATGAGCTGAAAAGAGATATAAAGAATATGCTGCTGTTATGAAAGTGAAATAACCAATCAACTAATGCCTCTCTCTGTCTCTCTCTCTGTCTCTCTCTCTCGCAATCATCTTTTTCTACTCATTTTGTAAACAAGTAATCTAATGAAAATGGTGGTAGAAATTGGGTAATAGTTTGCATTTAAAACATCTTTGCTGTATTTTTTAAACGACAAGAATTTATCCATTTTGTAAATGGAAAATACCCTATAAAGAAACTTATGAAAATGCAAAAATAGAACAATCACGAACTTGGATTTTGGAAGTTGAGTTTTAGCCCAATTTTTGAAAAATCAAACCTGGAAGAGATTTAGAAGAAACAAAAAGCCTCCCAGGAGCTTGATAGACAGAAACAAGCACGTGTAATCCAGGGCTCCGCGAAGCTGTAATGCTGAGTAATTGTAAATGCTAGTAAATAGTAGTAAATGCTTAGTTGGCAGTAATCTCAGCTCATCACTCTGCCCTACGCACATGGGGCTATCCACAGCAGATGAAGGGGGTTTGTTTTGTGTTTGTTTTTTATCAACATTAGTAAGACGACAAGAGGAAATAAAGACCAACTTCATGAGTTACCAGAGTTAATTTTGATACAAAATACTGTTTTTTTCATTTCACACCATCCAGTTCTCTGGTACAGTAAGTATCATTTTACCAGGGTTGTTTAAGATTTTAAGACAATGTAGGTTATTAGGAAAATATGGATGTACCTTTCTTTTTAAATGAGATTGGTGACAGAGGAGAGAAATTATAATCAGCAGTGGAAAAAGGAAAGACTGTATTCTGTATGAACTGATTTAAAAGACTAGGAGATTACTATTAAAATTCATTGGAAGCAATCACAAGAGGCCACCATTTTTTTATAAGTGGAAAATGGGGTGTCAGAAAGATGTTTAGTCAATAAATTATGGTAAAAAATTGATATATTAGAATAAGTTAAAAATCCAATGAGCTACATAAGAAAAAAGCCTACCAGGCTTCTAGAATTCAGAAAAGTTAAACTTCAGAATAATGTTTTTAATGTCCTCAAATTTCATCTTTTAGAGTTTAAGTCAATATAAATGTTTTCTTTCAAAAGGGAATTGTATACAATTATGTTGCATTGCACTTTCTATATAAGAATACCCACTACATTCAATGCTATCTTACATAGCCAGATCTCCTATTTGCCTAGGTGGATTTAGTATATAAGTAAACCTATTTTCTTACAAGTGAAACCAATACATAACAGGAAAATTCTATTAGGGAAAAATCGCCTAAAACTTAGCTGAATGGTCAAAAAAAAATTACATCCACTTTTCATGAAATGAAAACCGTAAGACTTTATATGGAAGACAACTTACTGTATCTAAAAGCATGCTTTGTTCGTATAATACATAAAAACAATTGCAAACAGGCTGTGCAAGCCAGCCAAGGCAAGGCAAGATCCCACTGTGCAAACCTGAATCCCACGCAGACAACCCCAGGATTATTTATTGCACCTCGGTGTTACAGGGAATGAAGGCAACTAATTGTGCATAATCTTCAGTGTGCATTCCACATCAAAAATGTCCATTAAATTCAGCACTGCGTGACTCTAACTCTAACTTCTGCTGAGTATTCTGAATAGGGAAGCAATGTGTCTGTCGCACTTTGTGCCAAACAAGGTGTCTGCACACACTCTTTAAAAAAACAAAACACTTATATTTTTGGTTGTGAGCCTAGCCTTTAATGGCTGAGCTATCCCTCCAGCCCAAAACAAAAAAAAAGCTAAGTCTCTACCTGGCCCTGCTTCTCACCCTGCAGCACTTAACAGAGCGGCCCCTGCACTTACTTCACCTGGGCAACTCAGTAGAGCTGGCCCTGGTGGTGAAAGTGTTGGTGATCCTGCCCTGAGGGCATGAGAGCAGGAGAACCGGCCCCACCCCTTGCTGCTTACTGCATAGAGTGAGCTAGGCAGGGCAGTGCAGGAGAGCTCACACTGGTGGTGAGGAAGAGGAAGCACTGGAGGGCTGACCAACCCACCAACCACCCAGACACAGAACCAGGTCTATGAGTTGGCCCATTGCAACCAACGTCCACCTCATCTAAAGCTGCAAGATCTCCATGACACAGAACAACAGGATATCCAAGAAGAGTCCCAGTGAGGGCCCAGTATCAATAGTGTAGCAGAAACCAAAGGCCTCGAACCAGACCAATGACTCATTGCAATGAACGCTTGCAAGTAAGACATATGAACTAAATAAAGGGTATACTGTGTGACTCACTGTGTCATGCTACAGCCTCTACGATGAGATTTTTCTTTTCTTTTCTCTTTATTTTCTCTTAAATTTTATCTTGGGAAGGAGGTTGCAAGTGCAGAGGGCAAACATGAAGGGTGGGAGAGATGAGTGGGATCGATGTGCATGATGTAAAATCCACAAAGAATCGATAAAAAGTTAAATAAATTAATTGAATTAAATAGATCTCTAACACAGTCCCTCCAATGTAGTTTTGTTTCTTTAAATTCTGTAGGTGAAAGCTAAAGGCAAGAAATATTGAACACTGTGTCCAAAGTCATTCAAGTAATAACTGAAATGGGTTTTCATCCCCAGTACATCTGAATTCAGAACCTAGGTTATTTCTAGTCTGTAATGTGTCTTTAGGGGCTTGTGCTCAAGGTATCTCTCCTGTTACAAATTTTGAAAATAAGCCTGGGAATTTAAGACCCTGTATCACACAACAACAAAAGGGAAAATATCTGTAAGAGTAGAAAAAAACAGAAAGTATGGAAAAATAGAGCACATTCCCCACAAGCAATATATGGAGTGTGCTATCATAAGAAGATATAATAAGCAAGCAGAAAAATCATCTGAGTTCTTAGCTTTCTTCTAATGAAAAGGTGTTTCATTTAGAAAACAGAAATTTCTAAATGGTCTTATTAAACAAGAAACACAGAGTCAAATACAGAGGTGCAAGCCGTAGAGATTAGAGCAATAGCCGCCAACTAACCTTAGCTTAACACCTCACTGTAGCTTCCCAAGAGAGCCTCTTCCTGTCTAACCTGCACCTTTATTACCTTCCTGTTCTGCCTTCTCATTGGCTCTAAGCCCAACCACATCACTTCCTCATCACTGCCTGTCTATACAGACCTCCAGGTCTCTATGGTTGGTACTGGGATTAAAGGCGTGTGTCACCACACTTGGCTATGTCCTTGAACACACAGAGACTCTGCCTGCCACATGATCAGATTAAGGGCATGTGCTACCACGCCTGACTTCTGTTTATGGCTAACTATGACCTCTGATCTCCAGGCAAACTTTATTTATTAACATACAAATAAAATATCACATTTCAGCACAAATAAAATACCACCACAAAAAGGATCAGGAATGATTAGTTAATACACGGAAATATTTCATTTCATCTTTTTCCCCCCATTCTTGCTATATAACCAAGGCTGGCCTTAAACTTGCAATCCAACAGCCCCAGCTTTCAGAATATATTGTTGGCTTTTGAGGCACCAAGTTTTTGGTGTACTCCTCTTTCTTTTCCCCGTAGGGAACAATCATTCTTGTTAACAATTTAGTGGGTATCATCTATATTTCCTTTGTTCATATTGTTAGATGGAACATAAAGAACCATGAATATGTTTACCACTATTCAGTTACCAACACAGGATGGTATGTCCTTCTTTTACAAATACTGCATCATGTGGTACTGGCATTTCTCTATCCTACGTTTCTCACTTAATATTTCAGGGGCAAAATCCTCCAAGATAACTAATACACCCTCTGATGCATCATTTTTACTGTTTGCACCATGTTTTCTGATGTAGTAACAATAATCCATATGAGAGGTGCAGTTTTCTTTGCTTGTGTTTTTATCTCTATGAAAGAATTTTCTGTTTCTATGAAAGAGACTATCAGTAATCACAAGAAATATACACGGTCTTAAATTTAAGATGTATTTCATATTGTTATCCAAGAAGTGTGAAACTGCTCATGTTGTCAGCTATAGGTCACCAAGGTGCTCTCATCTCTACACTCCTGGCACCAACAGCTCTTTTAATTAGTACCATGTTGGTGGCAATAAAATGCTATACCATTGTTACTTTAGAGTTTATGTCCTTGATAGCAGGCAGTTTAAGCCAAGTAACAAGTTTTGGGGTCACATTGACTTAGGTATTTCTCAACTCTATTAAAATTGTTTTCTTATATTATAAGCATGTTATATATATGCCTATATTATTACGGATAAAATTAATTTGTTCATCAAAATGTGGTTTTTATTTTTATTTTTTTCTAACAAAATTATATTAGTTATTTACTAACTGGCAAAAGATACCTGGCAGAAGATTTAGTTCAGTAAAATAAGTCTACTGCCGGGCGGTGGTGGCGCACGCCTTTAATCCCAGCACTTGGGAGGCAGAGCCAGGCAGATCTCTGTGAGTTCGAGGCCAGCCTGGGCTACCAAGTGAGCTCCAGGAAAGGCACAAAATTACGCAGAGAAACCCTGTCTCAAAAAAACAAAATAAATAAATAAATAAATAAATAAATAAATAAATAAATAAATAAGTCTACCTTATATACACCTCTGTATCATCTGCCTTGATTAAAAAGTTTCTCCTACATTGTGAATATTTTTATCAACATGCCTATAAGACTTTTGTGCTCCATTTATGTTACTTTTGTAAAAACTGTTTAGGACAGAGACATTTTGTTTTTCTAGACAGATGGTAATTTATCAGCATCATTTGTTAAATCAACTCTCTCTTGCCAAATTCAAGTATTAACTTTCTTATGCATATAATTCATAAACATACTGGTGATATAATATGGGAAGATGTCCCCCCAAAAAAAAAAATATGATACTTTAGAAACTGAGGAAACCCTAGAGACAAGGAAAACACTCTTATCTTTCTCTAATCCTCCTCTCTGGAGTAGGCCAACAGGACTAGGGAGAGCATTCTCTAAATTTCTCTTGTTAAGGTCTTCATGTGACAAGTGTCCTGCCCTACTGAATGTCACTCAGAAATACTGAGAACAATCCAACGAGACCTTTACAAGTAGTTCTCTGTCTGTTACTACATAAGGAAACACATCATGCTCCCCTTTTTTCAAAAACCTAAGTAAAATTAATAAAAGAGAGCAAAGACAGGTGTACAGGAGGGTTTGGAGGAAGGAAAGGGAAGGGAGAAATGTGGTAATTATAATGTCAAAAAAATTTAAAACACAAAACTTACATCTTTTCCCTCCTTTGATATTTAGTTTGAGGGCTCCTCTATTGTATACAATTTACATTAATGCATTTATCTCCCTTTTCCTTGTTAATGTATATTTTATTACAGTTTTCAAGCATGATTCTAGCCATGGATAAAGAAAAAAAAAAAAAAAAACCTTCTCCCCTCTACTGGCATCACTTTCTGGAAACTTTAACCCCTATAAAGTAAACTTTCATATTATCTAGAAAAAAAAACACATCTTTATACCTTGACCATTAAAATATTGATCATACTTTTTAAATTATGATGGTGTCTCAGATTTCATTCTATATTTCCCATCAACCAAGGGGATTATCTCTGTGACAAGATACACTTAATTTACTCATTTATTAATGAAAATTCCTATAATACATACAATAGGAGAAGTGAAAATTCACATTTTCTTCTGTCTTGTGA